AGGTCAGGAAGAGTTTGATTACTGGAGCATGAGCAGTTTGAAGTCCCTGATTTAGAAAAGTTTCCATAATCTCATCCCAGCCCAGCCCTTTGGCTAGATTGGGACTTTCTATAGACTTAGTCTTTTCAGGTAAGTATCTTTTTTTTTTTTTTTCATATTGGTAAATGTTGCAGGGAGGAACATAGTTCCAAAAGCTTTCAGTGGATCCAGCTGGTGATTTAAGTCCATCTCTGACTAGCAGGGAAAATTCTGTAAGCAGCAAGTTAACCTTACAAATCTTTCAGAATACCGTGAAGTGATACCTGCTAATATTAAAAGCAGAATATAGGTGTGGCTGACTTTTAGGATGCCATGTCCTCTTTGTTTTCATGAAGATAATGAATTAAAGGTCAAAATGCTAGCAGGTGATGCTGTAGAATACATGGTGCACCTGGCCTTTGTAGAACAGGCCAACATGTGTGTTGGACATGGCCAGCAACTCTTCCTGTTCCTTGTTACGCAGCGTTTGAACAAAATGTTCTGCTGCAGTGGAGAAAACCTTTCCAGAGTCTTCTCTCAGTGTTGTTTTTATCTCTGCAGATTTGCATCTAGCAAGGGGCACCTCCATTTTACATAAGCACTGTCAACATCAAGTGTAACACTAGCCCGTGTCATCCGTCCCCGCAATGAGCTGGGGGGACCTTTGTGCGGGAGCCTGACCTTTTCCCTCTTGCTGGAGCTGCTCTCGTTGCTCAGCAAGAAATAAACAATTGCTGGCACCCACAGCCCTCCAGGGCAGCACCCGTTCCTGCAGGAGCTGCAGCCTGTCCCGTCCCTGCAGGAGCTGCAGCCTGTCCTGTTCCTGCAGGAGCTCCATCCTGTCCCATCCCTGCAGGAGCTCCATCCTGTCCCATCCCTGCAGGAGCTGCAGCCTGTCCTGTTCCTGCAGGAGCTGCAGCCTGTCCCATTCCTGCAGGAGCTGCAGCCTGTCCCATTCCTCCAGAAATCCCAGCCTGTCCCATCCCTGCAGGAGCCTCCCTGCTAAAGACTCAAGCAATCCTTTTCATGCTGCATGTGGTAAATGGGGAAGAGAGGTAGAATTTAGCAGGCTCTTCAGCATTAGGGATGACCATTAATTTTCTTTATATAATGAAATAGTATTTGCTGATGGGAAGACAGGTACCTGAGAGTACAGAATGTTCTCTCACAGTAGCAAAGCAAGGATGAAATTTTGTCATCAAAAAGGCTAACTTCATTTTTCCCTTTTTGGATCAGGTGTGGTGGCTGCTTTAAGATGTTCCTAACATGAAAGGTCTTGCTAGGGCTGAACAAGGCAAATGTTCCATGCTGGCTGATTTGTGCATTAGAGTCCATTTTTCTTAGCCGTTGACTACATCAGTATTATCATTTTTGTCCAAGAAAGTGGTGTATGAGCAAGGGCTACAAGATGAGGCTATTATAGGATAGAAAAATATACGAAGATCTTACTTGAAAAAAGCTGAAAGTTTCCTAGGCTCTCTTGAACTTTCTGTTCACAGCAGTGTTCAAAGGCTTTTGAGCACTGATGGTAAAAATGACTGCTTATAGATTTTTGTCACATTTCCTAGCTTAATAACTCTAGAAAAGTAATTTTTCATATGTGGACTTCAGTTCTTTCCTCCTGTGAAAGAGGATTGAGACTTAGGTCTTGGAGTTTCTGCAAGACTTAATTAATTAGAGTGATTTGGGAATGAAGTGTGCCCTGTCATGTCACTTACTCTCCTCATTCTGCTTATTCTGGGTACTTAATAAATTCAGTGGTTTTGCATTTAAAGTCAGCATGGCGAGATTTTGAAGTGACACTGGCTGTGTGGCTCTGGCTGGTCAGTAACTAGGAGGGTCAAATTCCAAGCTGGCATATCTTATTTTCACTCACATAAATTTTCACAGGAGCTTTCAGTGAAATCCCCCTAGAAACTGGATTCCTACCCTGGTATTTTTCTTGTTCAGGCTATTAATGATAAACGTTGTATGAACTTTTTCAGCAGCTTGAAGGCATCTTTTGCACCTACATCCAGGGGGAGTGAACTCCTGGGCTGACATTCTTGTTCTCCATGTGAGGCTTTACCAGGCAGCTTTGTTTTTCAGCTGGGGAGTGATTGTTGCTCCCTGCTCTGGAGCCGGCACAGGTAGAATGGAGCAGATGGCTCAGTGTTTTTAAGTGCTTGCTGAGACACAGCAAATTGCTTCTGTAACCCACTGATAGGTTTCAGCCTTTAATTGGGGCTTTCAGCAAGGCGCTCAACAGTGAAAAGCATTCTGCTGAGAAAAACAGCACTGTAACCATGGCCAAAGGTTCAGGACAGCAGAGTTCAACCCTCTTGGGGATGGCTCCTCTCTTTATTTATTTATTTTCTGCTGCTTTCCCACCATCATTCAAGACTCCTGTAATGCTGTTTGCAGGCTGCAGCTCAGTCAGTCAGTGCCACTCAGTCCTTTGTGCTGGAAACATGCAGGACACACTGATAAATTTGGATTCTGTGCTTGCAGCAGGCTCGGTGTGTCTGCAAAGGTGGCTGTTCCCTGATGCTCCCTTTGAGTCCCTGCCTGCCCTGCAGGAGCTTTGCATGGTCTTCCCTGCATGGCAGCAGGTAAAGCTCCTGCTGTCTTCCCTCTGATGTACGTTACCATCATCAGAATTCTGACTTTTAATGGACGTCTCTAAAAGGGAAAGAAAAACTCCCTTCCTCCTCCCTGACTCCAAGCAAGACTGGATTTGACAGCAAAAGAAGGATATTTGTGGTGGAGTTGTCTGAGCAGCGTCCTGTTGGGCAAGAGTTCCCTTCAGCAGCTTCCCCTTAGGCTGAAGGAGCTGCTCTGAAAATGAGCTGTAACTCACCAAAAAGGGGCAGCCCAGAGAGGCAGGGATGCAATAACCCAGTGGTCTAACTCTCATCCTCCCACTGTCCCCACATTTTGTCAGCTTCTAATTCTGCTTTGGCTTCTTCACAGTACAGGGCCAAGGAATAGGTTTCAGCATTGGAAATTGTATCTCTTGAGGCAGCTTGGTTTAGTGTCCTCCATTAATCAGAAAGTTGTTGTTTCCAGTTTAAAAGCTGTCTAAATAGTCAGAAAGGAATTACTTCCAGTTAAAAAACCATCTGGTTGACTTAAATTTAGTGCTGGAGTGGGTTTAACAAAAAGACCCTAAATAAAGGCACTACCTGAATGAGAGAAATTAAATTCTATGATTGAAGTTTCCTAAAGAGTCCAAGAAATCTGTGATGTCGAAGTCGTGCTGCTTGCTTAAAGTCCCTGTTGATTCTCTGTCCCAAGGAGCTCAGAAGAACAAAGACTTTTGTGCAGTTTTGAAATCCCAGCTACATTTGGTAATGTCTGCAGCATGTTTTTATGTTCCTTTAGCTTTTCAGTGGCTTAAAATGCACTGGAAGTGTGAACTAGACTGCCAGTGTGCTTTTGTACTTGGCATGAATTTAATTAAAAAGATAATTGGATTGCTTTATCAGTCTTGACATGTCAGCCTAGTGCCACTCTCCTCTCCCCCCTCTAACAATGCTGCCAAGCCCAGTGCATATGAAATCCGCATTTTTCTGCATTGTTCTCTTCTCTTGTGTTTCAGGTGGGGTTCAGAGGTGACTGTTTGCTGCTGAGCAGTAGCTCTGCTCCAGGGTGGGAAGGAAGTGGCTGATAAGCAGAGAGCCAGCGTGGTCAGGTGGTTCCTGCAGGGGCTGCCCTGGGCCAGCGCGGGGGAAATGCCAGGAGCCGCAAAGCTCCGAAGGCAAACAAAGCCCACAGGCCCTTTGCAGAGTCCCTGCCTGTGTTACACTCATGTACAGCCCAAAACGTGCAGCTGCAGTCTGCAAGCTGCACAAAATGGGCAGTTCATGTCATTTTCGTGGAAATGCTGCCGAGGAATGTAAGATCTATTTTCAGTGCAAAACTGATTTTTCATGTGAGTGTCATGAACCTGAGCATGTGTCCAGACTTCCCAACATCCCTTTTTGCAGAGGACCAGGCTCGTGCAGAGAGGGGAGTGTGGACTAAACACAAGTGGGGGTCCTGGCAGTTGCTGTCCCTCAGTGCAGAGCTCCTTCCCTGCCTCTGGCACTGCCTCCACGCTCTTCAGAGCCCCTCCTGCCTCTCCTGTGCCCCTCATGTTGTTTTCAGATGTGATGTTTGAACACTCATCATCATTTCCTTGAGCTTGTAGAGTGCCACCAAACCACCTCTGGGAATTTGGGTGGGTGGGTTTTCTCTAAAGATTGCTTTTGATAATATGAAGCAGCTTCTGTTCCAGTAGTTTGTGGTCACATGGCTGCTGAGGAGTAAGAGTTGTCCTCTGCTGATCCAGCTGGTCTGTGGATGGGGCAGTTGATGAAATAGCTTGGACGTGGTCAGGGGCATGCAGGGAATTGGGGCAGAAGGGGTTAGGCAATCAGGCATGCTGTCCTTGAGAGTGGAAATGCTGTTGTGTGGAAGATTTGGATACTCATAAGTTGGCTTCTGTTACAGCTGGAGGGTGACATCATGACTTTTCAGGCTCCTTCAAGGCAGAAGATAGTCTATGAGATTTTGTTTTGCTTTGGTGAAATTGGAATGAATTCTGAATATGAATTCATATTCAGAATAAAGGATCTCTAAGAGTGATGTTTTGATGGCCTCTCTCTCTCCTTCCTTGCTTAATGAGTCTCTTGAAAAGAACTTAAGATTTAGAGACAGCTCAATAGCAAGTACCTGTTGTTAGCCTGAGGAAGGTGTTTGCAAGAGGAGATGATGAAAAGAAAGATGCTCTGGAGTTAAAAAACTCATTTTGAAAAGAAAAGAATCGTGCTTTCTCATTGTTTCCACGGAAGAAACTGGTTTAGACATAAAAGGTTTTCTTGTCCATCTAAATGTTTCAAGTACAGTGTTTCAGCCACTAGAAAAGGCAAAACTGGGCATACAAAGCAGCCCCCTTGGGCAATAGGAAGCACAGGAGGTTTATGGTGGTGTCAGTGTGGCCCTTTTCACGTGTCTTGCAGAAGAAGATTTACAAGTACAAGAAGGTGCTGAGTAACCCCAGCCGCTGGGAAGTGGTGCTGAAGGAGATCCGGACGCTGGTGGACATGGCGCTGACGTCCCCGCTGCAGGACGACTCCATCCACCAGGCACCCCTGGAGATCGTCTCCAAGCTGCTCTCAGAGGTACCTCAGCAGGGCTCCTGTCTCTCTCAGATGAGAGACAAACAGTTAAAAGTTTGGGGGTGGGTTTTATTTTAACTCGGGCTGTCAAAATTCTGCCTGCGAGTCTGCTCGTGACTTCTGCTCACTTGAGTGGAGTTTGCACTTGCTGGGGAGAAGGAAAATTTGACCCATCTTGCGTAGATTTCTAGAAAAAAAAACAAGCCCTATTTATCTTGTGTTTGTTGGTTTGGTTTTTTTGGTTGGTTGGTTTTTGTTTCTTTGGTTTTTTTAATTATCTACGGTAAATTTAGGTGGGTTTAACTCATGTAACTTAAGTCAGTGGTTAAGCTCCCTTTGACTCCTATTCCATTGGCTTTGCTTCCATGACCAGTAAGTTTTGTGCCAATATATATACACACACACCAATCAATTATTTGTGTAGCTATTTTATTTTTACTAAATCTGGTAAAGAAAAATGTTTTTCTTCAGAGTTATCTATCCTCCTGCTATAATATCTATTTCAAATATTTAACTTTTAATGGACAGGAAATGTAATGCCAAGCAGGCTTTTCTTGTCTTAGTTCTGATGTGATAGCAGAAGGATTTGATATAAACAAAAAAATCCACTATTATTTTTTCTTGCAATATTCAAAAATCTTAGCAACTCACACTGTTGTAACTTCTGGATGGATTATGCTGCTGAAAAAGCACAGAGCTAACTCTTCTGCAGAGGTGGTAGCATAGGTGACTTGCAGTCAATTTACTGGCTTTTCCTGATACCATGTTTAAAGAAAGAATTTTGGGAAAACTGACCACAAAAAATCCCCACCACAACAATCCTTTTAATAATTTTTGTAGACATACAGCTTGTCCTAAGAAAACATTTTGAAGAAGTGTGTTGTTGGCTTTACTTTCTCAGCTGATTGAGACTTCTGGCATCCTGGTGTTTGTGTGCTGAGCTGAAGGAGCAGTGAAGGCTTGCACCAGTCCTCAGCAGGCACTGTACCACCTCCTTTAGGAGAATGATTTTAATGCCATGGTTTTTATTCAGAAAACAAGCAACTGAGTCTTGAGCCTTTCTTCTTGTGTCTGGTGGTGGCTGAGGACTGTGTGTGCTGATGTACCAACTCAAGGGTGCTCTTCGTTCACTCATCTTTCTTCTATTCATCTCTTTCAGAACAACAACTTAACCACTCAAGACCATGAGAGCATTATTGTGGTGAGTATCTTTCTGTCAAAAGCTGAGGACAAATCTATATTGTTTGATAACAGTTCTCTTAGTGCCTGTCTCTGCCCCAGTGAAGTAGGGCAGATGTGAAAGCCTTTCCGCCAGTGCTGCTGAGCTTAGGCAGGAATGAAAACCATTTGTCTATTTTTTGTGTGGCTTTGTCATTTCTCTATTCTTGTTTCACAGATGAATTACAATAAAGCTTTCTCATCAGTCTGTGTGAGAGAGCACAGCATGCTGAGTGTTAACAGTCTCTCCAAAGGGCCTCCTTAGGAGGCAGCACAGCAATATCCATATCTGTATGTGTACTTTAAATAGTCAAACTCCATCATTTCCAGATGTGCCCTATAAAACCCTTAGGCTGAGTAGTTTCCTGAGGGTCTAATGCTACCATATACAGAATGTCTCCATTGCTGAGGGTATGTGAGCAAGGGATTGCTCTTCTGTCATTCTAGTTTAACTCCCTGCTAACTTATTTGTAAAAATATCCTCTTCAACTTTTTTCTTTTTTGTAGGTCACATTTATTTAGACATAGAAATAAGTGAATGGCAGCCCTGTTGCTTGTGAAACAAAGTATAAGATCTCAAGAGTTTATCAGAGAGGTGGAACTTGGTTCCTCATCACTGTGATTTAATTTAATTTTCTGGCAATTTCCAGGAGATTTTCACAGTAATCTAATCTAGAGCCTCACCACCACCTGATTGTATCACATCTCTGTGACTCTTTCTGCAAAATGACAAGGTGGCAGGTGGCTGCTAGTAGGTGTTAATTATGTTTAACTGCTGTTTAAGGTACCCTTTTAGCTGGAATCAGCCACTGAGAGAAGTTTCTGAAGTAGCATTTACTTTTCTTTGCTATAACTTTCGTTTACCTCCAGTGCCAAGGGTAGTTCAGGCACCCAGTCACAACTAGGGGAAGGATTTTTAAATAAAATATAGAGGTGGCCCTGCTGTGAGCAGGGAAGGTGAGCCAGGTGGGCTCCAAAGGTCCTTTCAGCCTGTGTTACTGCTCTGTTTTGGGTGATGGCTTCTTCAGCCCCAGTCCTGCCCTCGTGTAGGTTGTGGCCAAGCCATTAAGGAGCTGGCAGCTCCTGGGCATTCAGAGCTCTCTGCCATTACCCAGATAACCTGGGCTATTCCTGGAAAGAATTGCTAATACTGTGTGTTTATGTAGCATGTGGAAAGTACACAGTGCTTGGCCATGCAGATGGGACCAGCTTTCCTTCTCTGCATGGTGCTGGGGCAGATCAATATCCCAACCAATCCCTTCCTGCTCGGGACGGGGACACACGTGGCACAGCACGTGGCTGCTTCTGGCCATGGCACTGGTGAGGAAAACCCAGGAAAAGTTCCTGTCAGGCTGTCAGTCTTCCACCCTGACCACAGAGGCAGAGCCATAACCTGTGACTGTCTCTGTTGTTGATACCCTAAATAAACAATCCCAAAGATGGGTTCAGCAAAGACCTTGAGCTCAGGTGTAGGATGGGGAACAAAGATGTTCTGGCTCACTGGATGGGGTTATGTTCTCCTTCAGTGCCCTGTGGCTGGGCCACCACCAGAGGAGGAGTGAACACTTGCAGAAGGATGGCACATGCTAATGAGTGTCATAGTTCTGACATGTAACCAAACAGAGCTTTGCAGTTTCCTTGGGTTTCCTTGTTAAAATTCACACTGATCTTGACCTCTGTGAAAACACAGCTGCTGCAGGCAGACTCACAGGGCTGAGTAAGGAGATGAGAGGGAGAGCAGAAACCAAAGCGAAGCCTCAGTAAAGCCCCAGGTGCCATCCAGATAATATATCTGGTGTTCAGTTGCTTAATACAAAATGTCCTGGCTGCTGTGTTTAGTGTTTTACATTGAAATGGGTACTGGGAATCCCTGTAACTGAAGAGTGGAAAAGCCTGAAGGCACCACCACATAGAATATATTATTCTGGTACCATTTTCTAGTTTACAAAGTAACAGCAGCATAAGTTCATTACCCCCTCAGTGGCAGGTATGACCTCCAGTGTGTTTACCCAGCATAAGCACATTGGTTTGTGCAGCAACAAAGGAATGGTTGATCTCAGCTTTTACAAAGTTAGATGCTTTATTTTTATAAATAGGGTCTTCCCAGGTAAGAGCAGTGCTAGGCTGCTTTTAGTGAGCTCTTTCTCACAAAAAAAAAAAAAGAGCCTGAACTCCTTCACAAAAAGGATATGTGTGTGTGGTGGTGATGAGTTTTTTCTTTTAGGGAAATGTTCTAACTGAAACAGTGAGCCAGATTCATCCTTGCTTTATTACATCCTAAAGCAAAAAGGTCTGCTCCTGTTTCCATTTAAACCATTATAAATAGTGAACTCCTTTGCCTGTTTTACATATTTACACTGATGTAGTTAAAAGCAGAGTTTTTCTGAGGATTCATAGCAGAGGTGTGCTTGAGCTTACTTGTGAAATGAACACATGGTTCACCTTTAATTTCTCTATTGAAACTTTTGTCCTTTTCTAAAAGTGAGCTTTTATGCACCCAAGGAAAATACGTACCTGCAATATGCTTTTTCCAGTTGTTGCCTTGAAATTCAATTTTTCTCCTTTTTCTCCCTTTCTTTTTAAAGGCAATTGCACCTTTGCTGGAAAACAACCATCCTCCTCCTGACCTCTGTGAATTCTTCTGCAAGGTATCAGAAGAGCTTTGCTTTCTGAAATCTCATAGTTGTCTGTGACTGTAGCTCTTTGAGTGGGGGGGTTGTTTTTTTTCTGTAGCTTCTTACCTCCTGCCCAGATTGAGTTCAGCTTTTGGTCAGCAAGCAATGATACTGGCATGGTGAACAGCAGCATTATGATAAATACCATCATATGCTTAGTATATCAGAGTGTTTTGTCCTGATACTGTGTGAGAGTTAAAATTTTGAGACTCCCACACCTCAGTCTGGGTACAAGAGGTGTCCTACTGCATGCTGTGTTTGGTTAATGCAGAAATCACTGCAGCCACTGTGTTCAGGTGTGTGTAACTCAGCCCTTGTCGTATTTTGTCATTGGGTAATGGCAGTGGGAAGATCATAAGGACTCATCTTCTCTAGAAAATCCAGGCTTGTGCTGCATTTTGTGTCATTTATCCATAAACTTGGATTGCAGACCTTGTGGATGTAAAAATACTGCTGTTCCTTGAGACCTGTTTGTGTTTCAGTTTTGAGTCTGGTTAAATTTGCTTGCTGATGTCTGGATATGCATTTGTCAAACATCCTGGATGCTGCTTGTAATTCCCATCCAGAGTTATTCATCAGCTGCTTCTTCCTACAGAAACTGAGTCAAGTTACAGAAACTCCTCTGACTTGCATTTTTATAAGCACTCTTAGGTCATCAGTAGCCTCAGACTTGATGCATTTTTATTCCTGATTTGGGATATTTTGATCCTTTGATCTTTCTCAGAAATGGGCACCAGTTGTCTGTAAATGTGTGCAGTGGGATGTGTATAATTGAAGGAAAGGAAACAGGTTATGGACTTCCCAGAACAGAAGTGGACAGGATAATGAGAAGGAGAATTTATCTTCAAAATTGACCCTGTCTTGAGCAGGAGGTTGGACCAGATGACTTTCAGAGGTCTTTCCCAACCTAAATTACTCTGACTGATACATTATGATTATATATTTCATCCTGTGATGGGAGAATGGGTTATTGGTACCTTCCAAGACCCACCACAGGTTTTTAGGCAGGATCCCAGAGCAAGGAGGTTTGTGGCATTACACTGCCTGTGGGATCATATCTTCCTGTCCCCAGCCCCTTTCCTTTTAAAACTGTTGTAGTAAGACCCCAAAATGGGTACATAGCAGTGAGTTTTGGGAAGAATGGGGGACAGGGAAGGGAACTTGCAGTCTGTGAGCTCCCATGGGAATCTTCTACTAGATGCCACCAAATCCATAGGAGTGAGCAGTGTTACGAGTGCCTTAATCTCAGGAAAGATTAATTTAGCCCTTGGATCTTGATAACCTTGGGGTAATCCGTGCATGGGGTGTGGAGCCAGGGGACACCCATCTCCAGGATCCCTGCAGCTCACAAGGTGACCTGTTGCTCTTCCAGCACTGCCGAGAGCGCCCGCGGTCCATGGTGGTGATCGAGGTGTTCACCCCCGTGGTGCAGAGGATCCTCAAACACAACATGGTGAGTGCTCGTGCCACGGGGGCTCCAGCAGCTTGGGGAGGTTTTACTGCCCCTCCTTTTGTGATCAGCAGCTGCTCTGTTGCCTGTCATGCCTGTTGTATCCAAATCTGCCCCTCAAAGTGTGAATGCTGCATGTAATTTTGTGTTGTTTCATCAGAGCAGAGCTAATAAGCTTTCAGTGGGATCCTCAAAAGCATCTAAGCAGAGCCATGTTTTGAGGGATGTTTCTTTTGGCAGCAGTGCCAGCATATGCAGCTCCAGCTCTTTCCCACCTGGCCCTTGGCTCCTAATTTACTCCCTGCATGCCATCCTTGCAGTTAAAACACTTTAAAATCAAATGAATAACAAAAGCAAAATGGGGACTTTGTTCGTTTTGAGCTGGGCCCTCAACACTTTTTCTGTAAGACACTACCAGCCCTCTTGGTTTCCATTTTTCTTTAGGCCATGTCCAGTGAGTTCTTATCTCAGTTTCCTGAATATTGTTATGCTTTTCTACTGAAGTCTTACTTCACAACGCAGTGGCAAAGAATAACAAATAAATAAAAGAAAATATTTTAGGCAGTTGATTTGGCTGTGATCTCAAGGATTAACCTCTGTAACTTCATAATCAACTTCTTTTCACTAACATATAATTTTAGAGACCATCCGTTGTCATGCTGTGATTAGCATGAGCCCAGTAGAAAACAGTTCATATTTCTTACTTTTCCAATCTTATTATTTATCTCCCTGAGTTTACAGAACTAGGTAGAAAGCCCAAGATGGCAAAAAGGTCATATTCCTGGCTCTATGCCAGTACTATGCAGACATGTAAACATTTTTGAATATTCTGTAGTGTTCAGTGAAATATTCTGTAAATGTTATTCTTGGATCCCAGACTGATTTTTTTAAAGCATCCAGAGCTCTTGAGGGGTCTCAAATAAAATCTAAATGCATAGTGTAATGCTTGTATTTGGTTAGCTTCAGAGAATTGGGTATATTTACCATACTTAACATTTGCAGATTGAAAATCAACATGTCTGTACCGCAGTGTGTAGTTGGAGAATTTATGGTGTCAGGTATTAATTGGAGTGGATTTGGGCACTTTACCACCCTCTGGGGACTTCTGTACTGAATAGTGCTTTAGAGAATGTGTGTGTGTGTGCACATAAATAAAGTTACTCTTTAGGGGGACACTAAACTTCATCACCTCAGGAGGCCCCGTGCAGTCCTTGGGGCAGGAGACTGAGCTGCCTCTTCCCACCTTTGCCTCCAACTTGTTCTGGCGCCTTTGAAAATTCCCAACAAGTTTTGTTCCACAGATTTCTACCTATAAAACCGGGAAAGAGTGTCTCGTTTATCTCTGATTTTAACACCTCAAAAGAACCAGGATAGGTTTTTGTCTTGGTGGTAATACTGGTTACATGCAGGAGTGGAGGCTGTTGTGTGCTGAGTTATTTAAGGAGTGCTCAGCAACCTCTCAGACCTTTGGGTTTTAGCTGTTTGTAAACTCAGCCCAAATATTTGAATATAAACTCTTCTTTCTTTATTTCTTTTTATTTTTTTTTTTGAGCAGCCAGTATTGGTGGTGTGTATTGTTCTGTGCTTGGTATGTGATAGGGCATTATATTAAATTTAGGGAGATATTTATTTTACAGAGGTCAGCAATGTCATCCTCTTTATGATCTCTTGAACTTTGATTCCAGCTTAGTTAGGACGCCTAGACAGGCTGAAAACTTGAATAAGCAAATTGGAATTGCAAAAGCTGTCTTGCAAGGCATGCTCATTAAATTAATCAAATGTTCTATGAAGCACACATGGTCTCCTGGATCAAGTGTGTTTGCAGCTGCCAGAAGGAGCTGTTAAAAGTTTAATGATGTTAATTGTAATGATGTGGAATTGTCCACAGTCCCTTTGCTGGGTGAAGTTACCAGGCAGCCATTCAGTACCAGCAGTGACATTTAGGGCTTGAAGGAGACATTGTGCAGCCTAAGCTTGTTTTCAAGTTTTTGGTCATTTTCTCTGGCTGTAAAACTTACCAGGTATTAATACAGGTTGTGCTACAGAAGTGCCTGAAACCAAAATGAGTTAACAGAAAGTTTCAGTGCTCTGGGATTTATCATTCCTTTTACAGACCACCACTAGTTCATTACCATTTGTGGCATTTCTTTAACATTTCAGTTGCCATGTATTTTTTCCAGGATAACTTCCACAGGCAGCTGCTGGAGGAATAGCTGGGAGTGCTAGTTTGTCCTCAGTGGACCTTGTTCCCCACTTGGAAATTCAGCTCTGTAGTTCTGCAACACCTGTCTAATAAGGTTACACCTGTGTAAATGTGAGGAAATGTGCTGTGGAATAACACTCACCAGACAGCAGAATTTACTCCTTTCGCATCTAAAAATAGCAGGTGAAATGAGGAGATGCAGGATTTCAGTTAGCAGGTGCCTCTCTGACTGCAGGATTTAAAGAAAGTGACTTGAGCTCACCTGTCAAATTCACAGCATAGCTGGAGTAAAATCCGTGGAGAAAAAGCTGATCTCTGGTTTTGTACTTGATTGCATATTGATAGCATGTCAAAATTATTTTCTCTAAAACCAGGGTAGATACTCGTGCCAAACATGGAAATATAATATTTTTTTTTCAATTTTATTTCTAAAAACTCAGGAGTGGAAGCAAAAGCGCCAAACAAAAAATGTATTTAAAAATAAAAATATTAAGTGAAGGGTAGAGCTCGTGCCAAACATGGAAATATAATATTTTTTGAGTTTTATTTCCGAAAATCTGCGGTTAGGAGTGGAAGCAAAAATGCCAAACAAAAAATGTATTTCAAAATAAAAATATTAAGTGAAAAGTGCAAAACAAATGTAAGTATAGGTGGGATTTTTTTTGTTTTTTTAGTTGTTTCGTTATACAGAATATATAATGAAATACTTTAATACTTATAATACTTTGTTTTCAAAGTGTGTATAAAGGAGAGATTGGAAATGCTGTCATTATTAGTGGGGAGAACATTACTTCAGTGTGCAGTGGTGCTCTTCTCTTGAAGCTTGTCAGCATAATAGCAGTGTGAATTCAGTTGTGTTTGAGCTGGTTTCCTTTGAAAACCCAGAGTTTTGATGTGCATTCACCATTTTCACCGAGTCTCTCCTTCTTGGACAGGATTTTGGGAAGTGCCCTCGGTTGCGGCTCTTTACTCAGGAGTACATTCTGTCTTTGAATGAGCTGAATGCTGGAATGGAGGTGGTGAAGAAGTTTATTCACAGGTTAGTTACATTTCATTTATGGTGTATTTCCAATCCTGTGTCCATGCTTTGGTGTGTTACTTCTCCCAGCCCTGCTTTACTGGCTGTTAACAGTGGCTGGTGCTTTTTGGTACTGGCAAACAGCAAATTAATCAAGCACCTCAGGCAGTGTTGCCAAAGTCTCTTTTTCAAAATGCTAGTTCTCAGGTAAGTCTGGGATTTTCTAATTCCTCACTGTAAGCTAATGGACTTTGCTCTGTGTATGTTCTTCATATACATTTAGGCTCAAAGCCTCTGCAGAATGATTCAAATTAACTTTCAAGCTCATGCTCACTCAAGTGTGAGATTTTGGGAGGACTTTAGGGATACCACATCAATTAAATTGATTATTCAGCTTACCCTTGTTCATAAGTAGGGCCACTGGATTTACAGGGTTAAAATATCTCTCTGTTATGGCCCTTCTGAAGATCCCCCAAGGATGCCTATCCAGGTCTGTCACCTCGTTCTGTCTGACTGGTTTTGCCCACAGAAACCTTCTCGCAATGAGATCATCTTGTTTTTTGTTTTCCAGCATGCATGGTCCAACAGGACAATGCCCACATCCCAGGGTCCTGCCAAATCTTGTAGCTGTCTGCTTAGCTGCCATTTATTCCTGTTATGAGGAATTCATCAACAGGTCAGTATGAATTCCCACGTGTTCTTCACAACCAAGCTCATTGTGAGATGGGTGTGCTAGAAAACCTAAGAGAAGCTGAACCTTCCTTCCCTGACACTCAGCAAGGGAATGAGGAAGGGCAGGGGTGAGACCTTGAAGAAGGGGTTGTGTGTAAATCCCTGTGTATCTGCAGCTTTGAACCTGAGCTGGTTTCACAGCGCTGTCTCCGTTATTGTGGAAAATCTGATTCCTCACTCGCCGCGGTTCTTGACACACGAGCCAGTTTCCAGTAGACACTGAGGGTTCCCCTCTGCTATGTTTCCTGTTTGTTTATATGCCTATCTGACTTTCCTCATGGTAGAGCACGGACAGGAGCTGCTCAATGTCCAACACAAATTCCAGACACGAGGGCTGCAGACAAATGTCTGGGCATGTACTATAGCCAGATACATACTTGGGCATGGATTCTGTTACAGCTTTGCACAACTTGGACAGGAAAGTTCACCTTTAGACTAAACTGGTCTGTCAATTACAGTAATGAAAAGCTCAAGTCTTTGTCAGATAGGGGCTGCAGAGCAGTCCTCTTGGAGCCTTTTAATGTTTTTAATTGATTTTGGTAATCCGATTGCACAGAGGAAAGCCATTCGGTGGGCTGGGGTGAAGTGCAGTGGGAAATTGCAAAAAATCCTGGTTTCTCAGTGTTGCACTCTCTCTCCTGCTCTCTGCTGGTATGTCTGTCTACTGAAATGATTTGTTTCTTTCTGAAATTCAGTCGGGACAACTCACCAAGCCTGAAGGAAATTCGGAATGGCTGCCAGCAGCAGTGTGACCGAAAGCCCAACCTCCCCCTCCGCCTTCTTCACACGAGTCCCGACCTGGTCTCTCAGGAGGCCACCTTGACTGAATCCCGTCTCAAACCAGTTATTGTCACTTCCAACGAGATCCACGTGGAGGTGGAGCGCAACAACACGGCCAACCAGAAGATGACAGCCGGCGTTGGCAACGACAGCGAGCCCAACCTCATCGACTGCCTGATGGTCAGCCCCACCTGCAGCACCATGAGCATCGAGCTGAGTGCCCAGGCAGACAGGATCCTGGGCTGCTACGTGGAGATCCTCAAGATGCTGTGAGTAATTGCTTTGAGCAGCCTTTAGAAGAATGTCATCTTGACAATGGTGGGGGGGCTTTTCCCACAGGCCTGTTGTCTTCAACATCTGTGGCGAGCCAGCACGTGGTTATAAATCTTAACTCCAGCTCTGGAGAGTCCAGCCTTTGAAAGAGGCATCTGGCACTGCCAAGATGTTCTAAAAATAGCAATAGGAAGATGAAAATGGAAAGCTTATTTGTACATTGAGCCTCAGGCATTTTACAGAAGACGGGAGGTTGGTGCCAGTGGTTTCTGTTTTTGTTCTTGCCCACCAAAAATAAATTAGAAAAACCCATTTGTCTCCTCCAGGGCTCTTGGGATTGCCTGAGACAGAGCTAGAAAAGGCAGGTCTGTGGTAGGTTCAGTGCTTGTGCATTGACAGCCAGCACCACTGCCCTGAGGTTAGCAGGAGTTGGGTACTGCCATTGTTTTTCACTTAGATATTCTCCCTTCTGGTGCCGTAGAAGTTTTATGACCTATTCAGATTTGCTTGTATTAGAGTGGAGTCTCTGTCCAGTTGCTTTGGTACAGTGGATTAACCAAATCCAGTGGATTTGGTACTGCAAACTGTATTAACCCCCAGGTGTTCAAATAGTCTTTGCCACAAAATGGTGGCAAGGTGATTCCTGGCAGGCAAATCTGAATATCTTAAACAGGAATATAAAGGAAAATGTTGTTCAGGAAAAGCTTGGTTTTCTCCGTATAAATAAATGAAAAGGAATAACAGAAAAGGTGGACTGCAGAATGGGAGCTTGTAAGAGAAGTGAAATAAAACATCTTTGTTGACTTTGACAGCTAGCTCTGATACTGAATTGCAGTATGCTTTGTGGCAAACTGTTAAACTTCTACTTAATTATTTTTAAACAGTGTAAGGCCTAAAGAAGTCATAGTTGAACTTTCTAGAATCCAAGACGTGGGTGAAATCTGGACTGTGCTGTAAACCATGAGCATGTGCCTACACTGCAGACAAATGCACATCTGGGGGTACACTCCCAAGGAATAAAATGAAGTCAAACTGCTGTGATGGAGGATTTTGTGAAGGTTTTTGTCCCACATTTTCATTTTTTTCCAAAATGCATGGTACAAATTTGCAGCATCACTTTTCCACTCACTACACAGCTGACTTGCAGTTGCTTAAGCACTCATTCAAAACTGGAGAGAGGACAAGTGCATACCAGATACTGTTCCCATTAGATTCTTGAGCAGGAAGTTGCTGTGAAGGCTAATTTTGTATTTTTTTTCCCCGTGGCCCAGGTTATTCTGCCTTTAAGAATGATTGCATTAAGAAAAGCACAGCATCTGAGTTTGCTTCATCTGGGGGCTTTTGAGTCTCCACGCACCCAGGTGCTGCATTGAACACGTCGTGTATTTATTCCTGTCCCCTTGACTCTCCCTGTTTTCCATAAACACTGAGCACTCTCCCAGTCCTGATGCTGGTTTGGATGCTGACTCACTAAGCATTGACGGTTTTGGTTTCATCATGCAGCTGACACACACTTATAAACAAATTCACAAACGGGCGTGTTCTTCCTCACAGTCTCTCCACTTTTAAACATCTGATATCCCAGGTCCCAATTCCCATTTAATTTGCTATGCAAAGAGCTCATTTCACTCCATACCTTAAAATAATCTCTTTTTTTGATGCATTTCCTGTCTTTTTAAAAATCAAGTTGTTCAACAGCAGCAATGAAAACGGGAATATGTTACTGTTAGAGGTGTTGTAGGTGTGGAGCAGCTTTAGGCCCTTTTTCTGCTTGTACAGGAGGAGTTCTGAAAGGTGAAACCCACAGGATGTGCACAGTGAGGGACCAGTGATAGCACAGAACTGGTGCAACTCTCCTCAGAGTGCCCTGCCAGAGCCCACACCCTGCTTGGGAAATCACAACCTCTCAGACTATAGGGTAGCTTCTAAAGCAGAGCTCTGGCTGTGGCTCCACTTGTTTGAGTTCCCCTCCATTCCTGTTGATCCCTTGGTTTTTTTGGGTGCTTGAAAGCAGTAATGCAGAATCTGCTTGCTCCTCATTCTGCCTCACTGGAAGGTCTTAGATAAGTCACTTTTAAGTGCCTTGTTTTCCTTATTTGTAAAACATAGGTAAAGATTTTCAATGTTGGGGTTTTTTTTTAAATGCTGAAGCGAGTGATGGAAAAGCATTTTAGAAGGACTTGTAGTTATTACCAAAAATACAAGATACTGCTGTTGTGATGCTGATTACTTTCATGCTCTAACCCTTCCTGAACAAAGGGTTTCTGTTGCATGAAATACTATTACTGTACTTTGAAAATCTGAGAATATGAAGACAGGGAGTTGAAGAACATGCCAGTAGGAAGAAAACATTAATTATAAAACAACTGTTATCCAGGAGCCCAGCTCTCAGCGGGCATTCAGTAAAATAATGTTCTTATTAGTAACAATGGTAAGCCAAACATAAATAAGTTGCTTAGCATTGAGTTTGATTGTTCTTTTAGGTGTCTGACTCAGTATCATCATCAAAACAAGAGAGTCACCAGCGATGATATCTTTTTTACATAATTAACTTAGGGCAGCGGGGAGTAATTTATTTAGGCAAATGTTAATTATTGGAAGTCTAGCAAATAAGAATTCTCAACAGTAGCTTCAATAGAGGACATTTTATTGTTTGCCTGATTCTTACACAGTGCTTACTTTTTGGGGAAAACCCTCACTTCTAATATTGATGAAGATGTTATTTAACAATCACTGTAATACTTCACTTTTTGCACAGAAAGCTAAAAGGGCAGTTTAGAAAGTTCTCTTACAGCACCTAGAACATCTTTGACCCTTTTTCTAATGTAGTTGAGTAACAAAACACAACTATTGCATACTAAAGGAAAATAGAAAATGATGATTTTGAAGATGCTGGCAGATGACCCAAAGTCTGGGCAGATTTTAAGGGAGACACAGTCTCTAGGGTAACATAGTATTTTGGTCCTGCACTCAAAAGTGGATCAAACTTCTGTGTCAATATTCTGTAACTCATTCTGGACCCTGGTAGTGTTACTGACACCAGCCAGTGCCTCCTGAATGCTACAAGTCTTAAACTGGTGCATAGAAAATGCACTAAATTAACTGAAAAATTTCTGTTCATCATATTAAATCAGAGGCTTTGAGAACGGCTCAGCATTGCCCAGCTCCTATTTGCATGTTAATGTTTCCGTGCATTTGGGAATGTCTTGCACAGCCAGACTTGTGCTTGAACAGGACAGCCATGGTTAAAGAAATGCAGTAGAAGGGGCCGTGTGTCCTCTCCTTGGGCTGGAGAACTTCAAAGTTTTCTTTCACCTGAAGGATCCCTCTGGTTGCATGGGGTGGGGAGACACTTAAACTGTCTGCAGTGAAATCTAGGTCAACTGGTTGTGAGAACAGACCCCTCTTGGGGAAGCTCTGTTGGTGTTGTATCATAAACTGTTGCCCTTTGTCTGTGTTATTTTTTGTTTCCATGGCTGCCTGTAGTGGCAAGGGTCTGTCCAGATGTCCAGACACTCGTACCCCTCTCTGGGGCCAGTGTCACAACCTGCTTTGGGCAACCTTGTGTTGCTGTTTCCTGATGCTTCCGTGCCAACTGTGAGCAGTGGAGCCCATTTCTGTTCTCAGCAGTCAGGGCACAACCTTTTGAGGGTCTTTCAATGGTGCTAAATTTTCTTTTTTTGAAAAAGCCAAACAAGCCCATCTCAAAAGAAAGCTGAGCATGAAAAGGCACCTCACTGTTTTGCAGATAGCAGGTTTGTGCCTTGTATTGACAAGGGCTCTGATGAGGCTTTTTCTCAGCCTGAGCTAAACCTGATGTCATACAATTCAGGGAATTGAACCTAGAGCCAGGGAAAGAAGGGATCAGGTACATGTCTGGGGTATGGTCATATTATTATCTGACAACAGAGGTTACCTTGTCAGCCTGCTCAGTCTGGAGAACAAGCTGCTTCCAAGTAGTTGCTCTTGTCTCTTCATTACCCCCAAACCCCAAGGACTTGGGAATTGCAGTGTCTCAGAGATGAGAGCCACAGCTTTCCAAACACGAGCACCCACTGGAGCTTCCCCTGGCTGCTCTGCATTCCCCAATAGGTCAGTGGCATGCTCTGAATATCCCAAGTGGATTATCCTATGTCATGTTTATCGAGGTTGCCCTGGGCTGCTCGTGTGTTTTGGATTGTTTGTGCCGCACATGACACGCGGGCAGGTTTTCATTTTGGTGAAAGGTGATCCCGGGGAAGGAAAATGTATTATGTTGGCAGGCCAAGAGCGATGATGGCCCAGAGGCAAAGTCACTGCAGTCGGGGATTATTTAATTAATTTGGTTGTTCTGTGCCTGACCAGTCCCCTGGGACAGTTTGAGGCTGAGGGAGGCTGTGTGCAGTGGCAGGTGATGGCTCGGGTCTGTCACTGCCTCTGGGAGCCCACGGGTCAGGCTGCTCACCTAGAACTGCAAATCCTGCAAAAATCAGAGCCAGGGAGCCCTTCTCCCCCTTTTATCAGGCCAGTGGTGGGATTTGAGCTGTGTGATGAGTGTTGAGCCCAGCGCCCTTGGAAGAGCTGGGAAGGGAGCTTGTCCCAGGCTGTCCCAGGATCTCCCTGTGGCTCTGTGCTCCCTCCTTCTCCTGGCTCTTTGTCTGGCTCATTGCACTGGTGGTTCACTGCAGCCAGAACTAATCCATCTCCCTTTCTTTCCCTGCTTCAAACACTTGTCTTGTGTTGGAGTTCTGAATGGACTCAAAAAAAAGAAAAAGGAAAAAAAAGAAAAAAGCAACTGTCTGAAATGAAAGAAGAGTGCAGATGAGATGAGCACAGACAGAAGGAAAATGTTTTTGAAAAGGGAATAGGTGGGAGGAGGAGAAACACTATAGGCTTTTAATAAGTAGTTTAGTTTTATTCTTGTGCTGTGTTTGTTTCATGTTTCCTAGCTCACATTGAAGGGATTACAGGCTGTGCAGATTTTATGTTCAGGTCCCACTCATGCGACCAAATTTTATATATTTCAATAGGAGATGGTTTCCTTTTTTTCCTTCCTTCTCCTCCTGGGGAAGCAGACTGATTTCTTTTCACTGCCCTGCTCCCCAGCTTTGAGAAAAGCCAATGTTACTGTCCCATTCTGTCTGCAGTTTCATTCCAAAACAACTTTTTTCTTACTCTTGCAATTTCCTTTGAAGCTCAGCCATGAAAAATTGATTGGTTCATATTATTAGTAATCACAACTCTCCAGATTGCTCAAGAAGGAACTTCAGTGGTGTAACACTTAGCCTGAGATGTCACAGGAGCTAAGCCTCAAAGTGGCTTTCAGCTGTTAACCTTCTGTTGGAAAAGATTTGTAGGTGCTGTATCTCATGTGATATGAAGCACCTTTAACACCTCTGGATTTTCTAACTCAGCTTTTTGACTTCTGAGTCTCCCCTGCTCAAAAAATCTGCTTTTAGCACTGTTTGTATCTGCCAATAAAAATGTGTTGTTTTTAGAATGGAATCAGCTAGGAATTTCTAAAGGGTGTGCATATTTCAGTAAAACAAAATGTCTGGACTATGTTCTCACACCTGACAAACGTAGTGAGACCTGTGGCACTTCTCAGGGCTGCAGCTACAGAAAGGTTACATCAGCTCTCTCCTACAGAGACCTGGTATTTTAACAAGAGACTTCCAGCTGAACCTGAACACAGGCCAGAGTTCTGTGTCACCGACCCATTCAATGTGTCTGTGGGTCAGAGACAATGAATAATCTTGTAGATAGCTTTAATTAATCAAAGCTTTGTTGAAAGAACCCAGAAGCTCATATTAGAGATGCTGTGTCAGAGGTTTCCTTGCATTATTTCAGTTTATGTGACAAGCCCCATCCTCAGGTGTGTCATGATATTCACTTTACACTGACTAAATGGAAAAACAGCCCCTGTAATGGAGTCCTGCTTCATGTCTTGCTGTTCTGAGACATGAAACAGAGTTGATCATCTTCCTTATTTGTTCAGTGGCTAGGCAGGTGAGGGACTTTTTATCTCTGGAAAGAACCTTATGAATAGGTGATCACAAAGTGCCCTTGCTGCCACTGACTCACACTCACTTTAGGTTTGTGAGACACCCCTTGTCTCAGAGTTTGCCCTGGTTTAGACCTGAGAACAGAATTTTTCATGGAGGAAAAAGGTTCAGTGGCTTCTATCTGGCACAACTGGCAAGGGCACAAGGTTTCTTTTTTACATTACTGTAACTTCACATGTGCTCTTCTGGTTTTTAATGCACTAAAGCACTTTCAGGTCACAGTGGTCCTCATGGGTTGGTCGTTTGCATGACATAGCACACATTTGTGTAACCTGAACTCACACTGCTCTTGGGCAAGTGATCACTGCTTCCCTGGTTGATTTTTACATCACAATTCTTCATTCAGGTAAAACTTCTCTGCACGTTGCTTCTTAAGAGTACCCTGCTCACGCATTTAAATTTTCTTTTTCTGTGAACACATCTTTGTGGATTGTCCAGCATCATGTGTGTTACTAGTTTATGGACATTTCTGGTTTAGGTGGTTCAAAAAGATGGATGAGACTTTTGGAAATGCATCCATCTTCAATTTCTCTGAGCTAGAAGTTTCCCTTTGCAAAAGTGCATTCTTTTGGAACAGTTCCTGTGCATATGTTGTCTGTCTGTAATGCTATCAGCAGATACTGTCCATTTGAGAACATTACACTTCGTTCCTTCCCAAAGACACACCACACTTTTGTGCCAAGTTTCCAGTAAGCTGCAGCCAATACTCTGGTTTTTAACACTGAAATCCAAAAGGTAGCAGCACTAAGAGGAGGTGGCAGGCTGTTCCAGGTTGTTTCTGCAGACATGCCTGGGTGTTTCAGGCCATGTGAAATTCACTTCTGTGTGTACTCATTGTTACTAATGGGACTGGGAGCCATGGTCTGGGCTTTGGCTGGTGGGTTTTGTGTCAGAAATGGATTCAGGGGTATTGTTGTTTTTAAAAATGGGCTTATGTCTTGTAGCAAAGAAAATTTCCAGTTGAATGTAGAGAAGAGCTTTAAATAGCAGTGGCCTGGTAATTGTTCTACCAACTGAGATGAAAGTATTACTTAGTGATTAAATGTCAACAGGTTTCATAAACAGCAAATGTCTTTAAGTTGACATAAAGAAGGCCTCTCTGCAGGTCACTGTAAATACCAGATTTATTGTGCCTCAGTGGAGGATGTGCTGGAAATGGAAAGGGAAATGTCACTATAGATTTTGAGAGTGCTTCAGTAAACCAGAAAGGTTGTTGGTGCCCAGAGTAAAAAGCTTTTAACTCCTTGAAACTAACTGTTGGCAAACCATACTTAAAACCTGGTAACCTGTTAACAAAATGTTCATTTTGCAGGTCAGACTATGATGACTGGAGACCAGCCCTGGCCAGCTTGCTTCAGCCTATCCCGTTTCCCAAGGAGTGAGTTTGCACTGTCTTAGTATTTACTGGCTTGTTCTTGTTACTGGTTTTTTATGGTGAAATATACGTCAAGTAAAAAGGGGTGGTAACAGGAGCTTTGTGCCTCTAGTATCGATTTCGAAACTGAAGTTGATCTTGGCTGATGCAGAGGGATGTGAAGACCTCCCTACGTTCAACTTCCTTCCCCATTTCTCTCAGATGATCCTGAAAAGAAATATGGTTAACTAGAGGCAGGCAGACAGGAAGGGGAGGAAAGCTGGTGAGGAGGAGAGCAAAGTGAGAGATTTAGTGGGGGAGGATGCTTTACTGGCGTCACAGAGACTCCTGTCATTTGTATTTTGCATTAAATGAAGAAGCTGCCCTATGGATCAGCCGAGCTCCCCTGGAAACCTATTAATGAGCAGTGGTGTTTATAAAGTGCAGACCTCCATGGACAAAAATTACAACCTGTAATTGTACAATTTGCTGGCTTATCACATCCCCTGATGACCTGATGTCTTGAATCACAGAGGTTTAATCCTCCATGCCAGGTTACCTGGGCTACAGTGAGAGCTTGGAGATGGGTAACAGAGACATCATTACCTAAGTCAAACGTGAGTCTTGGGGGAGCTGTAAACCATACCATGATCCAAGGCACTTCACAAAATGACCATTAATTGCTTTACTGATGTATGATGCTAATTAGCTGTGGCCATACCCTAATTGCCTTGCAATTAAAGAATACACCTGGCTCTTGGAGGTAGGAAAAACCCTGTAATTATATAATGGTACTGTAAGTCTTTTACTTTCTTCTGACCCAAAGCTCCCACTGATATTAGTCAGAGCCTTGTCTTAGACAGACTCAAGAAAAGCTACAAGATTTGTTCCAAGTAATTTTCCCCTCTAGGTTAATGAAAGAGGCTTTATCTGATTTTTTGAAACTTTTTTTTTGTCTTATGTGCTGCAGTTTCTTAGCAAGTCCTTTTATTATCTGGAAAGAACTGAAAAGTGCTTGTTTGGTTTTTTGGGCTCTTTTCCCCCGTCTCCTTTCTCTCAGATGCTCATACTCTTCTGTTTTGAATTTCAGGGCTCTCGCACATGAGAAATTCACAAAGTAAGTTTCTGGGGCTCCTTTGTTTTATTGAATAAATTCTTGTATTAGTCAATAATAGCAGTGATGCATTATTCAGTATTGTGTCTGTAATGGCTTTTATCTGTGAAGGGCTGTAGGCATGTTCTGTTAGCAATAAAAAGTTCTCTTTGTAATTTATTGTGCTAGCAGGAGCCCAAGGACTAAAGCCAGTGGGTGCTGATAGAATTTACAAAGGAGTTTGTCAGTGCACATCTCTGAAACATTTTCTAGGCTATTGTGAGCAGACCCTGTCCTTGGTAATCACTTTTAGGCATCATATGTCCTTTCTGTGGTAGGAGTTCAACTTGGTTCTCTCTAAAGTGCATTAATATATATAATTTTAGGTGTTGTTCAAGAGAAATATGGTACTTGTGCAAATACTGCAACCAGCAACTGCTTATTCTTGTCCTTGTTACTCTTATTTTTTTCAGGGAGCTGAAATATGTGATTCAGAGATTTGCAGAAGACCCGAGGCAAGAAGTGAGTTTGTTGGCAGTTTACACAGAGCATTAGTTGGAGGGGTTGCAACTGCACTTGTTCAGATCTCTCCTTAAGTAGTTTGTTCCAAAACACAGTGTGGTTTTACTCTGCCTAGGTCTCTAAGCAGGAGTGGCCTCTCAGGGTGGTTTATGTGTAAGGTTTATGTGTTGTCACCTCCTTGTCTGGCATCATTTGATGTCCTCGTTCTGCAACCAGCAAGATTTTCACCCTCTGTGGGATCACTCGGAGCTTTTCATCTTCTGTAGAAAAAAAATGGAAGCAAAATGCACGGATCCACACAGCTTACAAAATAGCAGGTTTTGTGTAGCTGTGTTTCAGCTCTGTTGTGTGCAAATGACCGTAATTCTCATGAATTGGCAGCAGGAAGGGGGTGGGGGTGTGTTACTGGGGTGAGAGTGCTGCTGCAGCCTCAGAGCTGCACTCACAGCCTGCTCAGCATCATCAGCTTTGGCTGAGTCACAGGGAACCTCTCATCCACTGTGATTCTTGCTTTTGGCATGAAGGCAAGAGAGCTCCCTCAAACTGTGGGTGAGGCTGTATCATCACTGCCCAGAACTCCTCTTTTTCATGGGTTTAGCTCTTGTGAGCAGTAGTTACCCTTGTCAGAAGAGACCTTCTTGTCCTAGAATGGCACCAGGATTTCATCTGTCACTAGACTTCTGTGCCCAAAGGAAAGAATTTACCTCCCACACACATACACCTCAAAAATTGAAAAGGAACATCTGTTTCTTCAAGTGAAGGGGGAAAAAAAAAGAAAAGGAAAAAATAAAGTTTAATTATGACTTCTCTATTAAATTGTGGGACTAAATATAGTAATCTCTACAGTGGGCCAAATTTAGACTAATGGTTGCTCACTGGTGCCAGTTTTCCAGTGCAGCTTCCGTGTTATGTATCCCTGTTGAGTTTTCCCTGTGGATTTCCTTCACCCTGACTCTGGTTGAATTTTATAGAGCAGGAGTAACAAGAATTGTTAATGATTGGAATGAGCAAGCCATCAGCCACCACATTTGGTATGCAGATCACATCAGATGTGTAGATACACATGACAAGAGGACGGGGAAAATTACAGAAGTTGAGAAATTTGTGGGGGTTTTTTGTTTGTTTTTTTGGTGGTGTTTTGGTTTGTTTGTTTTTTTTTCCCAAGTGAAAGGAGCTGTTCTAGATTAAAGCCATTTCGTGTTTGATTTGTGTGAAGGGAATGAAAAGGGCCATGCAATAAGGGATGAAGCAGCTTTCCTCTTAGTTATACTGAAAAAAACAAGGATTCTGGGAGTGGAGACTGTCCTGCAGCTCTGCAGGCTGGAATATTAACCATGAGATTTCCAGCAGTCCCTGGTTCTGCAGTTACTTTTGGCCCGGTGTGGGAGATGCTGGTGGTTATTGGCAGGAGCTGTAACCTCCCCAATGTGTTCCCTTCTTGGCAGGTCCACTCGTGTTTGCTGAGTGTGAGGGCTGGCAAGGACGGCTGGTTCCAGCTCTACAGCCCTGGGGGAGTGGCCTGTGATGATGATGGAGAGCTCTTTGCCAGTATGGTAGGTGTCTGCAGTCGTGGGAGTTTACAAACTTTGCAATAAGTAACTAATGCCCAGTCGGCAGTAACAGGATTTGCCTGTTTTTGTCAAAAAATAAATTGTCAAATTCACGATTTTGTTAACCATGAGTGTTCACCAGAAAATCCAGATCTTTCTGCCACCAAATCCATCGACCTCCCTTGCAGTCACAGTTTGGTTAGCACATTACTGTTCTGTTTTTGAACCTTGGCATGTTTTCTCACTGCTAGTGTAATACACAAACCATGCTTGTGCATATGTATGTATTTCTGTATTTCTAAATATCTGTCTTTGTCTGTCTGTATAAAAAACTCTCTCAGGGAACATGGAAAACTGGGAGACAGACTGTTCTGTACATCCACACCTATAGTTTACATTTATAGGCTACCCTGGAATTTAAAACCAGCAGTTACATTGGTTTAATCAAGGGATGGATGGATAGATATAAAAAGGTGTTGTCAGTGTCTCTGCCCAATTACATTGTTGTGAAGAGGTGTAATTAGAAACCAGCATTCCATTTCCAGCAGGTATTTCTTTTGTAACTCTGAGAAGGGCTAGACAGAAAATAACAGGTTTTAATCAGTGATGTGATTTAAGCACTGTCTTCCTGTACAACCTGGGTCAAGTCATGTAGGTCTCTCTCTGTATTAATTCTCCATATACCAAGTAAGATAGAAATTATATTACTACCTTTCCCTGGTAAGGGGGAAAACATTTGTTAAAATTGGCTTTGGGTACATAGTGAAGTGACTTTCTACACTTTGTGCATCTCCCACATGCTGAACATTTTGGGATGCAAAGAACATCAATCTCTGTCTATACCCTTAAATTCAGATGGATCAGATACCTCTGAAACTGATAATGGAAGAAGAGTGTTTACAAAAGGTTTCACCCCTCTTCACTGTTCATCTGTCTTTTATCTTTGAAAAGAAAATTTCTTCAGAGCTGTATCATTTCTCCTGAGAGCCATTGAGGATATTTATGAGCATCAGGAGATGGCGTGCATGAGAAAGCACAATGCTAACACACATTAATATGCAGTACTCTGTGCCCTTTGCAAGGATGTTGATAAATACTTAAAGAGCTGCTAACGACTAACCATAAAGTTGGAAAAACACCCTGTTCTGAGATGCACCTAATGTTACTTTACTGTCAGTGTCAGTATTTTCCATTGCTCAAGAAAACCTCTAAAAAAACTTAATGAAAACTGCATGAAATTAAATCTCTTTTGGCTTGGAAGTTCACATTTTTAAAGGCTACCTGATGGATGCTTAAGGAAGAAAAGATTTTCTGTGTTTCTGAAGAGCTTGCTGGTAATGAAGCCATGATTCACATAGAATTGACCTCATCATGGCATGGTTGTGATATTTTAGCAGTATTGAACATAGTGCAGGCAATGCCATGATCCAGGGGGGCCACAGAATGTACAGAATGTATTTACAAGGTTATTGTAGGGTAGTGCTGATGTTGTGTCCACATAATGGAGCTCTTCCTGCCTAGGCTGTTGGAAAATGCAAATTCTCACGTAATGCTCTGCAGCAAATGGTGAATCAGCCATCTGGGTTATGAAATAAGACTTTCTTCTATGAACCCAGACTTCCCTGCATTTAATCTCTAAGGCTTCTACATTGGAAAGAATATGTCCAACTTATTTTCTGCAAAGAGACATATTTGATTTGTACGACTTTGCATTTCTGCCACAGGCGTTACTATGTGATATCAGATGGTGCTTTCTGGAGCTTTCAGAGAGTCTGCACAACAGTTTTGTCAGCTCAAGGGCTCAAAGGAGTGCCACTCAGGGCATGCTCTCAGCAGTTCTTTCCTTTCAGGGAAAACTGAGCAAAAGAGAAAGCAGGATAGTGGGCCCAAGAGCATGAAACCCATGAAGTCATCTCTGACTTAGTGCTTTGGACTGCCAGATTTTCTTGAAGCAGTCCTTCTTTCCCCAGTCAGCTCCTGTCTCTTCATCCTGAACAGGTGATTGTGTCTGTCAGCACTCCTTTATCCAAGGCCAGCAGATTGCCAGCAGCACTGCCTTTTACCTAGACACCCATCCCACAGAGCCCCTGCTCCCCAGCTGGCATTTCCAGAGAAACCCAAGCGCAAACAGATGCGAAAGCAAAATCCCCGCTGGTTCCCCCGGGGCTGGGTTCATCAGGTTACTGGGAATGGGGGCAATGGCACAGCTGCTCTGATGTTTCTGGGGAGCCTCTGTCAGGCTGTCAGCTGGGCTCCTTTATGGAGTAAAACTTGCCACTCCCTCAGAGCTCACTGGGCATCACCTTCTTCAAAAAGTCACTTCATTCAGCAGTAAAACTGTTGAGACACTGCAGCCCTAACTGTAAAGAGAACTTTCATTCCTTTAGGTTTATTGCAAATACTTAACACTTCTTGATTGCTTAACAATATCCCTTCCAGAGGTATATGTGTTTCTTAAGCCTACACCCCTAATTTTACCTCTGTTTCTTGAATAGGTTCATATTTTAATGGGATCCTGCTATAAAACAAAGAAATTCCTGCTTTCACTGGCTGAAAATAAATTGGGACCTTGCATGCTGCTGGCTTTGAGGGGTAACCAGACGATGGTAGAGGTAAGCCCTAAAATCCTGTGGTCATGAGCAGTGCTGAGGTTCACAGTGCCTTTCCCAGAACTGGCTCTAGCAGGGGTCAGGTTTGTGTTGTGTCAAACACCAGCAGTGGCTGGTTGTGGTTCTCTGAATTAAGGGGAACAGAATATTATTGTTCTGTAGACATGAGTGTGAATTAAATGGAAGGTGGGTGCATGAATTTTTGGACAAAGAGGTTGTTTGCTGTAATGCAGCTGGAGAGGTTAGGATGGGAAATAAATGGCCATAGTGGTGAAGGCTGTGGTGAGAGATCACAATTCACAACCACAAGGCTTTTGCATTATGAAATGCCTGATTCTTCTCTTGCCACCTGCAAAATGAGCAGTGCACAGGAAGTGCCTTTATAAAACCTTATTTGCTTGCAGTAATACACTTTTCTGTGCTTATTATTTGGTTTTTTTGTTGTGCTAATAGTTTATATGTATTTTTCTGGGTTTCTTAAGAGAAGTTTCCTGATAAATGTCATTATCAGCAGAAAGAGAGTGGATAAATGAATGGAAGGAGTTACAGTTTTTCATTGACTTAGATTTTTGCATGCTAATTTAATCCAGGAAATAAAGGAGCATGCTGCATGCATTTGAATATAATGCTGCTGAATTTTTTTTTCTTCATTAAAAATAATTGAAATTGTGGAGGGAATAAAAGCTTTGCATTTTAATTGCAATGGCATGATACATAGCTGAAAAAGAAAAGCAGTGTGGAGAGGCAGCTTGTGTCCTAAATCTGTGTGAGCCTCTGGAATCACCCCTTGGGATCTGACTTGTTCCTGGCAGTCCCTTCCCCAGGTGGGCTGGGTGTGTTCCCAGTGAGGTGAGGGATGTCCTGGCCACAGCAGTGAGCTCCCAGCATCTTCTCTTGGAGCCTCTGTGCCCTTTGCCCATCCTGCCTCGTGGACTGGGTGCACCTCACACGTGTTCTGCTTGCACAGAAGTCCCAGCACTTAGGGATGGAAAGTCCCTAAGGCTGCTGTGCAGTGTCCCAGCCCAGCCCCTGGACCTGGGAAATACTGGATCAGTTGTACCTGTTCTGGAGAGGACTCTGGCATGGAGCCATCTCCCAGGTCTGATGCAAATAATTGCACCTCTCAGTCAGAAGGAATGAGCACTAATGGGGAGCAGGATAGACAGGCTGTCTTTTGGTGATTACACTTTCTTTACAAATAAAAAATTAATTTCATGTGTTGGAAGTGGCATAAATATTGCTATGATATCCTCTAATCTAAACTCCTTATTGCATGCTCTAAAAACTTACCCTGGAATTTAAACTACTATGCCAAATGTAACTGGGATATTTGAAAGAAATGGAATGAAAGCCCTGCACTGACCACTCTCCTTTTGTTCTGCTGCTAGATTTTGTGTTTGATGCTGGAATACAACATCATTGACAATAATGACACCCAGCTCCAGATCATCTCCACCCTGGAAAGCACAGACGTGGGAAAGAGAATGTATGAACAGCTGTGTGAGAGGCAGAGGGAGTTAAAGGAGCTGGTATGTCACCCTGCACACATTGCCATAGCACGTTGGGCTCTGTGCTCTCCACAAATGGAGGTACAAAAGAAAGACAAGCAGGGTGTGAAATTCCCAGTTAACAACAGGATGGGAGCAGTCCTCAGAGGATTTTACTGTGAATATATATACTGTGTGATATTTACTGACGTGACTAATCCCATACTATGTTTATGAATGATATTCAATAACCTGCTTAGGATCCCTGTGAAGGAATAAAGGTGAAACCCTGCTGTCTCAAGATCTTACAAGTCAGCTTGTCAAATTCTGCCACCTTTTGACATATGAGTAGCAAATGGTTCTGGTGCTGGCCAGCATTTCTGAATGCTCTGGCATTCACAGCATTTCACTGAGATGGTCTTTAGGTCTAGTTCTCAGAGCTAAGCCTGTACAAAAAGATTCTTCCTGGTTTTAAAGAGAAGACCTACAGATTTAAAATGGACCTGCTCACATTAGCACTTTTTCACCTAGGCAAACATACCCACAAACTTCCTCTTTCCTCTTTCACATTTATATTTGTCTTTAACCCCTTCTCCCAGCCTGACAAGTAGATGGTTTTTTTGAAGCCAAGCAAATTATTTTATCAGCTGTGCCGTCTTAACCCCTTTGCTCACTTTGCCCAGCATTTTAAAGCTGTTTCCTTTAAAGTGAAAGTAGCCAAATGCTGGCAGGCTGAAGCAGACAAATGGCATGAGGACCCACTTAGCTGTGGGTAGTGGGTGTCCCCTGGGGAGCAACAGGCACACTCAGGGCAGGGGGAACAGGGATGATGTGGAAGGGCTGGCAGGAAGCTTTGAAATGGGAGCAGGGTTAGTGCTAGTGAGGAGCTTGCTGTACTTCAGTGAGTCTGAAATGTAGAATGGCAGCTTGTTTGACCAAAATGTCTTCTCTTTTACAGCAAAGAAAAGGTGGCCCCACAAGGTTAACACTGCCATCCAAGTCCACAGTAAGTTAATCATGTCAATAGAAAAACACCTTTGTCTTTCCATATATAAACACTTGATTTATGTTTGCCATGTGGCACAGTGGTTTTGGGCAGTTGAGTGGGGAGCCATTCCACTTGCTCTGTCAACACAACTGGAGTTTACACAACTAAGGGCACATTTCTTCTCTTGGGTCTGTGCAGCAGTTTCCAACACCAGCAGCAGGCTCTCACATTTGTAGTGCTGCTCAGATTTGGAGTGGCAGCTCTGGGGACAGAGTTTTGCATTACAAACGCAAACATCCCAATGTCCAGTTCTGGATTTTAGTCATGGAAGTCTCAAAGAGACCCAGCACTACTGCATTTAAGCTTGGTGCAAACCCAGACTAACCTCAGTGAGGCCAGGTAATGGTGCTGAGCACAGGTGGGACCTGGACCTCATGGTTAAATCTTCATGATGTTTAAAGACCCATCTTCAGCCTTTGCTCTGACACCGAAGCCTTTGTGTCTCATAAGGATACACACGCAAAGGACATTTTTGTCCTAATGTTTGGACAAATTTTTCCCAGGGTGTGTGAAGCAACGCTGCCACAAGAGCCCAGCTGCTTGCCAAACAAACAGAAACTGCTCTGTGTGGTTCCCTGTTACTGTAAACAAGTGGAGCAGTTGTGCAACTCGCTCTGGTTACCAGTATCGGTGACACCGCACACTGCCAGGCTGGGCATCCACAATCTCTCTTACCAATCTCCTCTCTGCTTCCAGGATGCAGACCTGGCCCGCCTGCTGAGCTCGGGATCTTTTGGGAATCTGGAAAACCTCAGCCTGGCCTTCACCAATGTGACAAGTGCTTGTGCTGAGCACCTCATCAAACTGCCTTCGCTCAAGCAGCTGAACCTGTGGTCAACTCAGGTGAGTGCTCTGCAGCCTGAGGCTCAGAGCAGGAGCCAGTGCTGACTAATTCTGAAATTCCACACTACGTCAGCACAAGAGTGTGTGTACAGGCTTGCTTAGATTACTTTGTCCTCCTGCTATTTTTACAGGGCCTTCCTGTGGTTGAGCTCATCCTGGCAGCTGATTTTTTTTCTCTTCACCCCTTTTTTTATTCTGATTTTTAATTTTTGTTTTATTTTTAATTATAAAAGTGTTGCTGCTGTCTTGAGTTGAATGTTCTGGTTGGGCATGGTTGCTGCTGTGTGCTGAGTAGAACCCATGCTGCTGTTCATCTGGGAAATGCTTCTGCTTTCACCCAGTTAGGATGAAAAAATGATGCTGTGCAGCTCATATGGTCAAGCAAAGCACAGTCTTTGCAGTTTAGGCAGTGAATTGCTTGAAAGCTGATCAACCCACTAACAACAAAAGAAACTCATATAATGAATAAGTAGAAGGAAATTATAATGAGAATGTGATTATTTTGTAAGCAAAAAAAGACCTAAGTTAACTGAACAAATTTTTCAGCTGTTGATTGAAGGAACTTCTAAAATTAATTTTTTTTCTTCTATAGTTCCCTGCTGGTTTTACTCTCTGAGGTTCTCCACTGAATAGGTTTTCCCCGTTTTCTGTTAGCACCTATTTATAGTGCTCACTTGAAAATACAATTATTGTCAGTGCAACCACAAAAAGCAGCATTTTTTTACTGAAATGTCATGTAAATATTTCGTTTTGTTTTTCTAACTACTTTGTATCCCAGAAATATCCTTTTTTTTTTTAATGTGGGGAATATGAAGTAGAAACTGATTGCTTCCTTGTTTTAACTGTATGTTCTCCAGATTTGTCTTAACAACGTAATTTTTGCATCTGAGAAACTTTGATGCTTTTTGTTCAAAATGAGTTTGATTTTATTGAACAAAGAGCCTGCTTTTTGTGTGGGTTTTTTTATTAAAAAAGGTAAAAACAGGGTTTAGATTCCATTTTATTTTGAGATATCCTGGTTTCCATTAATCTAGAATTTAGCAGAAACCAAGTGGGTCAATAGAACAATTACCAATCAATAGTGCATTGTTCTTGAGACCAAAATAGCTAATTAATACCACTTGCACTGTGCTTTTTTTGTGTGATGTGGTTGGGAACTGGCTGAGGCTGCCATAACCATCGTGTATAGCCTGGGTGGGAGCCCGCTCCTACAAAGTCCAGGCTTCAAAGGCACCAGTCTAATTAAGTGATGGCCTGTGGTTAAGTGCACACAAGTCACTTAATTTCTCCATTCCCCGCCTGCGAGGCAGAGATAAAACTATTTGCTTTCTCTGCTGTCACTGGGCATGGCGGTGAGCGAGGAGGGCTCGGTCAGGCCCCGTTTCCGCAGCCCTGTTTGCACTGAGGTTCCTGCACGAGGTGTGGGTGCCCCAGCTGGTTGTGCCCCAGCTGGTTGTGACCCAGCTCTGCTTGTGCCCCGCAGTTCGGCGACGCGGGGCTGCGGCTGCTGTCCGAGCACCTCACCATGCTGCAAGTGCTCAACCTGTGCGAGACCCCGGTGACGGACGCGGGGCTGCTGGCACTGAGCTGTGAGTGACAAAGGGGCTGCGTGGGGCACTTGGGTGGGTTCTGAGGGGTTCCTGTGGGTTTGGGCACGGGGTGGATCTCTCGGTGCTGCAGCGCTGCTTCTGCAGGGGTTTAGGACAGAATGTGGCTGTGTTTGGGTTTAACCTTCCCTCCTCACTGCCCAGTCCTGCAGCTGTCCAGCTGTGGGATGGTCACCCGAGCCTGATGGCACTGGGTGGCCTCGTGTGGGCTTTGTCCTCCTGATCCTTACTCTAGATCTTGCTTCACTGATGGCACCTGTCCCCATCTCACATGGTCAGCTGCTGCCTGGGGACTTCCCAGATTTCTTCCCGTGGGTATCCCCTCTGTGTGGGACCTGCCTTAGTGGTACAGGAGGTGAAGATTGCAAAGCCATCTGGCAGCTTCTCCACAACTGTGTGCTGCAGGCTTCAGACTCCTCCTGGCATTTTTTGTTCCTTTGTTTTTGGGGAGGTGAAACTCCGTCCCTGTTCTTGGTTTAAACAAGGCAAGGCAGAGCTAGACATCCAAGATTCCCTGAGCACTGAGAGGAGCTCGATGTGCTGGAGTGAAACTCCCTCCTGTGAAACACCCAGCAGTGCTTTACAAACCTCACTGCTGGCTTTGGAGGGCTACTTTAATAGGTTTGCTCCTACACAGACGTGCCAGACAGGCCAGTAGTTATGGCTCATCTTAGGAAACTATTCTGCTAAGTACTGGAGCCTAAAATGGGAATGGGGGAGGAGAGGGAGGACTGCCAGATCAGCATGGCCCCTGTGAGCACCATGCAGAGCACTGAGAACAGGCACTATTCAGAATAATGTGCAGGAAACCGATTATGAGAAGTTGACTGAACTCCTTTGAAGTCAGCAGTCTTAAGCATATGCTTAATGGCCCTTCCTAAATAGGGACTTTTTCCTGGATGAGGGCCCAAACAGCTGTTTATCCATTTGTATTTCTATATTTTATGCTATTCAGCTTTTTCCTGGGAGTGCTGCACATAGTCATGTCTTGTTTATGCTTTGGCCTACTGCAAGCATGATATTTTAAGAAAATGCAGCATGATCATAAATATGTATGTGTTTTCTCTTTCAGCCATGAAGAGCCTGTGTAGTTTAAATATGAACAGCACCAAACTTTCAGCAGATACCTACGAAGATCTCAAGGTATTTGTGAATTGCATCCTCTAAAGAGGAGAAGTATCTGTAGCAAGAGCATGGTGGTGATGGCTGGGGCAGGGAGAAGTGACCCTGTGGAGTGGGTAGCATGAAAGTTATCTGAAGGAGGGTGAAGTGGCTTATTTTGTGGGTATAATGACTGAAATCAGCGTTGTGAGGTTGCTGGCTTCAATGGACCCAGGAAACATTTAATACACTGAATGGAGAAGTATGAGATAGAATCAGCAGCTCAGTCTTTTTGCCTGTGCTATCAACAGTGAAGGCTTTATCAGTAAAAGTTTCATAAATTGATTGTACCTGTCTCTGTATCCTCATCAGAAACAATCTAGTGCACACTATATCCTGTACTATTAACAGGACCAAAAGTAACTTGGGTGAACATTATTGTGAAGCTTTGATTTGGAAAGCAAAGGGAGAATGGAAAACATCAAGGAAGATGCAAATTTGTCTTAACATCTCTAGGACTGGAATTGGGCTCTGAGCAGAAACGTCTGCACAGATGCCCAGTTCTGAAATTTAACATATAATGTCTGTTTTTACTGTGAGTTTATAACCACTTAGGCAAAATGGTGTAAAGAACCAGGTGGTTTCAAAGCTTGCCTGAGATGTGTTGGCTTTCATGAGTTCACGTGGACTTTGCTTTCATTCTTGTGGTGTGTGAGTCGCATCTCTCAAAACCTTACCTTAGAGATCCAAGGACTCAAGATGAAACTTGACATTTGCTTGTCTTGGATTTTGAAACAGATTGGGCCACGTTTACTTAAAAGGTCACAACCTTGGGTTGAGTTTGGAACTTGAAGCAAGTCCTGTAACTGCTCTGCTTTCAAAATTCACTGCAAACATCTATCTTTGGTTCTGGCTGTGGAGCCAGGGCTCCCCCAGGGACTCAGCTGCAATGCTGCTTGCATGGAGTTTTCAAGATCAAGTTTTAAAAACTTGTGTTACAATTGTATATGCAAAGAAGTCCTTGGAATTAACAGCTGGCTTGCAGATGGGTTCACACAATGGAGCTTGTATCAGGCCCCAGGCATTTACAGACAATCAAGGTCAATGCTGTATTTGGCCCAGGGCTCTGAAATTGCATCTATTGAAAGACTCCCCTGGTCCCACCCCTGCTTCTGAGCCCCTTTGCCACTCACTTCTTACTGAAACTCACATTTTCCTAACTGGTTCCCTCTGCTCTGGTATGGCATTAATAGTCCTTAGCAGCCACAAAAGAAAGTGACTTGCCAGGGCAAACAGTAAAACTGCCTGGGATCCAAGTCCTGATGATTGCAGAGAATTCAAAAAACTGAGAAAACAGGCAGGCATTACTTTTTCCCCTTTCACCTCTTCCACTGAGATTTATCTTGGTGCTATTATTTTAGGGCTCTGTGTTTGTTCAAAGGTAGTAGTTTCTCTCCCTGGGGCACATGGTTGTAGGTTTGTTAAGAGCAGCTCAGACTTCAAAGAACATATTTTTGATACAAATCTTTCCTTCTTCTCACGTTGGTCTGCAAGAGCATTTGGGGCACAAGCCAGTGATGACATTTCCTCTCAGCTCCATCCCCCACCCTACTAAACACACTTGCACACACACAGACACCCACATATGTACCAGGCAGGCTGAACCAGACAATAAATAAACACCCACTACTGAAGTCATTATTGCCTAACTGAAAAATTATTTGCTGGCAGTGTCTGTAGGATTATGAATAGCTCTTATCAAAATATGCGCGCACATAAATCAAGGAGTGAGGTAATAATGACTCCTAGAAACTTCCAAGTCCTCAATTATGCCCTGGCCTAATTAAAAGTGTTTATTTGTTTGGAGAGAATTAGCTGTGCAGTTATGGCCAGAGAGCATGGAAAGGGGATCGATGAGTAGGAGCAGCACAAACAGCCAGTCCCCCTCTGCCTCGTGTGGGGTGATCCAGGCATGATATGGCCAAAAGCAATGGAGTTGTGGAAGGGAGACCACAAAAACACCAAAAGTTGCTAATATTAATGAATTGTTTTAGTACATGGAAGGTAAAATGGCCAGTGTGGAGGCTGAAGGAGGAACATGTCTATCTCTGCTGCAGTTTGAGTGCACCGCCTTCATGGTGAGAGTTGGACAGACTTGTTTTGCTAAGCATTTGCATAAAAAATAAGATCATGGCCTGATCTGGTGGCTGCTGCATGGGTTGTAGAGTAGGTGGGACTTAGTCTCATGTGTCTGTAAGGGCATCCTGTTCCTTTGCCACACCCACCTGTCCAGCTCACTGCTGAGCTCAGCACCGTGCCCAGGGTGTCACGCCTCTTCCTGCAGTCTGTGGTTGACAGATCAGTCCTCCCAGTTTGCTGGGAGGTGCTTTGTCCCTTTCTGTAGCCCTCCTCCAGATTTGGATACGACCTTTGAATTGAGTAAGTCCAGGGATTGTTTCCACACAGGAGCTCCAGGCCAGAAGGCTGTGTCTGCCCTTTACCTCTCCTGGGCTGCCTGTCATCCTCACCAGTGGGGCTCTGTGCTTTCCTAGCCAAGGGGCGGTGCTTTCATCCCCTTTTGGGAGCCCACATTCAAAATACAAGCACAATATTCAGAGCTGCACAGGTCCTAGGCTTGCTGTCACACAGAAAGTCACAGGATACAAGGTTTTTCACAAGCATCAACACCAACAGCAGCGAGGCAAGGTGCTCTCCTTCCCCAGGAAGTTCTTTACTCCTCCCTTCTCTATTCCTCCTCCAGATCTGGATACCACTGCTCTGTTGGATAAGCACAGGGAATGAGATTTGATAGGAACTTCTTACCTGAGCCCTGAACATGTTGTTAATTCTGACCTTTCCTCCCCTCACAGGCTAAACTCCCCAACCTAAAGGAGGTGGACGTCCGCTACACCGAGGCCTGGTGAACTCTCCCTGCCTCCGACTCTTCTCTTTTGCTTCTTGTGAGAAGGAAAAGATTTTTAAAAAAGACAGATTGAAACAAACCAGAAAATAACTTTTGGCCAATTCCTGTAGAGCAGTGAGCCTGGGGACTTGGTGGCAGGAGTTGTGGTTGTGGGGTAGCAGAGTGGAGTTGTGTGTTTTGGGAGGATGGGGCAAGCCTGGACCCCATCAGATTCTTTCAGCTTTGTGATTTCAGAATCAGCATAATTTAAATTGAAAAGGAAGGAAACAAACAAAAAAAGAGGACTTTGTAGCAGCAAGAGGATTATAAAGAGGAAAAAAACACCTTTGTGGATTTTATTTGCCTTTGTGTTTTATGCCGTGTGGAGAAAAAAATATATATTCCTTTGTCCTTACTTACTTGGGTTTCCTTGGCTGGCACCCAGCCAGCCAGAACTCCTGTTTCACCAGTTTTGCTCCAGAAAATCAAACTTCAGAAATCTCAAGAGAAGAAAACCAAAACCAATATGATTTTCACCTCCCCTCATGTCCTTGCAGTTGTTATGCAAAGTAATTTTGTTGTACATAAGATTTACATAATGCACCTATTTAAGAAAATGGTTCACAAATAACAGGTCTGGGACCTGTCTTTTATTTATGAATTGTTAATTCTTTTACCCTTTTTTTGCGTATAGTACTGTATAAACTAGTTTGCTGTCTTGTTGTTATTATTATTTTTTTTTAAGGAAATGTCCTCCTTGAAGAATTGCCTTTTAGTAATGCAAACTGTATTATACTCCCTCTTTGTCAACATTCATCGCGTTGTCTTTTTGATTTCAAAATGCCTCAAATGTTATCAAATAGGAAGGAAAATCTTCATCAAGGGGGGTGTGGTTGTTGGGGAAGGGGGTGCAGGGATTAATAAAAGTCACAATTCCTTCCAAAGTCTGAAAATTTTCTTTAGTCTTTTAAGCCATGTCAGGTTCAAACATGGGAGATGGGGACAAGCCGTTTATTTTGCCAATGGGGTGTTTGCAAACTGTAGATTTTACAAATTGCCTCCGTTGTTTTCTGTTTACGTCCGATATTTCAAAACGAGAAAAAAAAGCTCTCCCTCCACTTTGTGCATCAGCTTTTTCTGGTTTTTTTTTTCCCCCCCTCCCCTCATTCCCTCCCCTGTCCCGTGCCCCCCTCCCTGCCCTGTCCTGTGCACGCATTGTTCTGCATGTTCCTCTGGGGAGACTGAGGAAATCGCGGTGTTGCTGATCCGATAGCTCTGACCTGTCTGTAAATGTGACTGCTACATTTTTCAAATTCCACAGTTGCTTAGAAGATGATTTTTTAAAAATTGTGGTTTCTTTTATAACTATGCTGTTGACTTTTTTTTTTCATAATGAGCCTTCATTGTACAGAGCTGCTTATTTAAAAAAAAAATCAAAAACACAACAAAAAGAATTTTTTTCCTCTGTTTAACACTTTTATTTTATTCTTCAGCACCTCAAGGTTTCACATACAGCCAATGTAATTTTTTATATGAATATATATATATATATTTAATCTTATTCAATGGAAAGCCAAGCTTTTTTGTTCAGGTTTTGTTTTCTTTTTTTTAAGTTTGTTGCTATGTAGACAACCCCATCCCAAATGATGTTGTTTTTCTCTTTTTTTTTCTTTTTTTTTAAATAATGAAACAGAAATTGAGTCTTAACTCATGTAGTGTGTCAGGTTTTCTTTTCCCCCCTTCAAATCCCACACTGTATGAAGATGCAGTATGGGAAGGAAGAAGAAGAAGAAAAAAAAAAGAAGAAAAAATATGCCAACATTTTCCTTAGCACTGTTGCTTTTACCAATGGTTTACTACTACTGTTCTGTAGCTGTGTACAAAGAGATGTGAAATAATTTCAGGCAAAAATAAACTGTAAGTGAATATCTTTTAGCTGCGTGCTTTGTGTTTTCTTTGAAGGAGCCCTTGGCTGGCTGCTGATGTGGGGATGCTGTGGGAGGTGCAGGCTCCAGAGCAGGGGACCAGCAGGCAGCCAGGGTGTCTGCCACCCCTCCCCAGGCTTGAGGAACCACTGTGGACAAGGAGGAGGAGAACTGCTGAGCTCTCTGTGTCCTTTTCCTGCACCCCTCCCCAAGCCTGTTTGTGCACTGTCCCCAGTCCTTGAAAGGCTTAAGGAGTTCTTGCAGGGGCCATCAAAAGAGTTTCTTGCACTGGTTGCCTGATGTAGGCAATGAAGGAAGCACTGGGGCATCTCCAGGCTCGAGAGGGGTTTCTGTACATTAAGGTGTATTTTAGGGTAGTCTCCAAAAGCAGGGATGTGCTGTGTTTGTGTTCTGCTGTCCTGGATGAAGCCCTGCAGGGTGTGGGCTGGATGCCAGCAGGACACCCAGCTGGAGCTCCACATCTCTGCCTCCATTGTCTGCACAGCTACTGAGCTTCAGCTTTCAAACAAATGGGCTCCACTTGAAGCCAATTCCTGCAGGTGTTCTGAGAGCTGCCTTTATCACCTGTTTTACCTGGCTCCTGTACTCTCACTTTTATCTGTATTTCTGTTCTGTTCCACAAAAGAGACTTCAGGACATGGAGAAACACGAGGGTTTGTACTGTGCTTCCAGCCAAGCTAAGTGCTCATGGGATGGCCCTTGATAAAGAGAATAACCTGCCTTTATTTTTGTTTTTCCTTCACTGAAATCAGACAGCTGTAGCGAGTCCATTGGGCTTTCTGGGTGTTTCCCCATGAGCAGTCACCACTGTCCTGCCCTGGCAACAGCAAGGACTTCACAAAACCTTTCTGGACCCAGAAGAGCCAGAAATATTCCTGGGATGTTGCGTGAGGGACTGAAGAACCGCCCAAGGAAGATCTTTAGGCCTTGGTGAGATGAAGACATGTTGGATACAGCTTCTCTTCCTGCTGTGGACAATGACCCATCCCTGAGTTCCCAAGGCTCTGCCTTTGTGGGAGCTGGCAACAGTGTTTGTGTTCTGAGCCTCATCTGGATTATCAGCCCTGGGGGAAGCCACAGAGCTTTGCTGAGATGCTACGTGGGTCACTTGGAGTGGGCAGGGAACGGGCGTGTGTGAGATCCCCCTTCAGCACCTGCCCTGGTCCTGCCTTCTGCTGGGAGAAACTCCTCCTTCGTGCTTGCTCCCTGCTCCTGTCTCCTGAAACAGCAGAATCTCCCCCTGCTGTGGCAGCAGGCTGAACAAAGTCTGAGTGAGGCTGGAGGTGGTCAGTGTGGAGTTAAAATGGGGCTCAGGGTCTGTCTCGCCTGGCTGGAGTCATCCCGTGCCAGGGCAGCTGCCCTGGGTCTCAGGCCTGTGGCATTTACAGGGCAGCATGGTGAGGCTGCCTCAGGGTTGTGTCCGAGTGAGGATTCTCCTGTTGGTTACAGAAGGTGAGGATTAGACGTGCTGTAATAGCGATGCTGTGTCTGAGCTTGCACTCCGCTTTTCCTGAGCCTTTTGTGCCAGAGCGCTGGGCCTCGTGGCTGGCTGGTGGTGTTCCCTGGATAATGATGCCTTTCTGCCTGTGCCCAGCTGCTGCTTGCTGATAATGGAGCAGTTCAGAAGCTGCCTGGTTCCATTTGGGAGGTGCCTGCAGCCCACCTTCCTGGGACTCGGAATGCCAGGGGCTGGTCTGACCCGCAGCTCTGGGCTTTCAACCCGAGCTCGTGCAGTAGCTCTGATGCAAGTCCACAGAGCACAAAGCCTCAGCACTGCCGAGTTTTGGGAGCAATTTTCTCCTATCCTCGTTAAAAGCCTGTGGTTGTCCTGCCTTCCTACTGCTGCTTCCACTGCTCACAGCTACCTTTTGAGTTTCAGAAGACCAAACACAGAGATGAATCTCCCAAAGTACCTTTGCCTCCAGTTTCCCAGCTGTGTGGGCTCAGCTTATTTGTTGCTCAGAGAGTGAAATATAGACCTAAAATCCTGAGAATTCAGCATGGATTTGCTTGTAGGGGAGTCCTGAAACAGCTGCTGAAGCATTGTCTGGTGGGATTTTTACCAGGTAGGAGCTTGGGTTGTCTTGTTCATGGGATCCAGGTGGAGGCCAGGTTATCCACCAGTCCCATCCCTGGTGACCTGGGGCTCCTTGCCTGATGCCAGCTGAGGGACCTCACGGGGAGGTGTGGGACATGGTGGCACTGGGCAGGTGTGGGGGATCTGCAGCTTGCTCAGGTTCCTGATCTCCTGTCCCCAGAGCAGGTGGGCCCTGTCCTGGGGCTCTGACCTGGCCTGGTCCCCAAGGCCTGGAGAGGCTCCATCTCTGAGCCCTCCAGCACCAAGCACAAGAAGTGTCTCTGATACTCCTTATGCTTCCCAGAGAGCATCAAGCCTCTGTTCAGGTAAAGTTTTCTTGGGAATAAAGTGGGCTCTGCACTGGCAATCCCTAAATGCAGTAAAGGAATCAATTAGTAATGAGGTGAAAGCAAAGCAGGGATGCCAGCTCCACCCAGAACTGCTGGCTCTGGAAAACAGCAGCAGCTGGGCCTGTTCCCTTCCTTGGGATTTCCACTGCCCTGGTGGCTGGGAGCAGCAGTACCCTCCTCTCATACGTACAAGGATTTTTAATCCTTGAAGCTTTACAAACATCTGCAAGCAGTAGGGCAGTAAGTGCTGCTAAGGGCAGTGCTGACCTCTCCCAGCCCCTGACCAGCTGTGCCCGTTAGAACACATCGCTCAGTAATAGTGCTCTCTTGAATTTGTAATGAGTTTTTCCAACTAAGTGGAGTACACATATCAAAATATTTCTTTTAAGTAGATGTTACAATGCATTTTTCCCCCATTTTCTATTGACAGGGGAAAAGCTTAAGTACATATTTGAGATTAGCTATTTTTATTATTTGGAATGTCCTTTTTGCCAGTAACATCAAACATGCAAGTATTTTTCCTGCTAGCCTGATACCTTTTTTTTTCAAGTAATCCCACTTCCATGCTTTTCACCAGCCAGCTAGAACAAAGACTGTAATACCTTTGTGATTTTCCAGTAAGCCCTGTCAGATTTTAAATACATACATACCCAAACCTCCCAGATCTGCTGGCCATGGATGAACCTTATTGAAGTAAATATGTTTTTCTTGTCAATCTCTACAAAGATCCAAACAGAGCTGAGTAGAAGAGAGCTCCCAGTTTGTGTTCAGACCATTAAATTTGTCTTAGCACCTAAATTTACCAGTTTGCTCTGCAGATCTGGCAGTTGATATAGTAACCAGTTTCTTGTTAATTTTTCTTCCAGCTGGGATAGGATATCAAACATTAATCCTTTAATTCTTATGCAGCATACATTTCAAGTTGAGTTGTTCAGTAGATACTGAGATACTTTTAAGTCATAGCTGGCTCTCCCACCTAGAATCTCCCGTTTTTAAATAAGCCTTTGCTATGAAATCCCTGCCTTTGCATTAAATTATGAAAAAGTTCTTTTAAAAAGTGAAGTTTGCTTCGAATATGAGGTCAGAGACCCACTGACTGTCTCACTTTAATAGAAGTGTTGCTGCTGTCTTTGGTATGCACTGTACCTCCTTATATTGAAATACTGAAACCTTGGCTTAGGGACATTTTTCTTTCTATATCTTACCTATTATGATGGTATTAAGGATAATTAATGTTAGTGACTCATTTGCCAGGTGCTTGATGATCTTGGGGCTAGGTTTGTTATTTACTTCTGCAGAGGGGCAGGGTGTGATCCCTGAGTGTTGCAAAAACACATTTATCAAGAACACTTCAAATTTCAGTTTGGGCCATAATGTTAGAAACACACGATCTGTGGTTGACTGTTGTTTATGAAAGAGAAAAGGTATTGTAAACCTGTCTATTGACTAGGGTTTTATGTTCTCTGCCTCTGTTTTACCAGCTGTCTCCCTTCCATGTGGTTCTCTCCAGGCCTGACAGATGGGTGAGCAGTGGCAGGGTTTGGGGAGCATCCCTGTGCCTGGATGGGCCCCATCAAGATCCCCCTCATGGTAAGGAAAAGAGATTCTGCTCTGCACGATGGCCTAGCATGGGAGCAGGATTTGTCCATTGTAGCAATAAAAAAATAAATCAGAGCTTTATAAAAATCCCAGCCATAGCTGGAACAAACCTCCCTGTGACCTGGGGGAAGGGCTGTGTGAGGGGCAGCAAGGACAGCTGAGCTCAGACACAGCATTGCTCCTGCCCTCACTGAGGTGAAATTCTTGTTTTAACATTGCAGTGAACTTGGTAGAGTATTTTTGGCTGGAACAGTCTGACCCAGACTTCTGCAACAGTCCACTATTATCTGATAAGTTAAAGGAGGCTCTGGGGGAATCGTGGATGTGGCTAACGGGATGAAATCCATCCCTGCAACCGAGGCTGGCAGAGGGCTGGGTCTCCTTGCTCAAGCCTGGTAAAGATGCCAGGTCCTGCTCCTTCACAACTCTTTTCTTCAGAAAATGTGCTGGGTGTCATTGTCAGAGGGATTTTTGGTTTAGAGCTTGGGGGAACCTCCCCTGAGCACTGAGGGCAAAGCTCCACTGCATAGCCAGAGCTGTGCATGGCCATGGGATACTCACACAGGATCTCATGCTTCATGGAGATGTGGAATTCCCTCTTTTGGGTGTCTGTCTGGCTCCTCTTGACAGGGAGTGAGTGGTGGTGGCTCTGCCTTTGACAGTGAGCTTTTGTTCCTGCACAGTGAGAGCTGCAGGACCCCAGGGTGCCAAATCTCTGTCCAGGTACCTCCTTCATATTTGAGAGCTTCCAAAACACCTTTCTTGGTAATGCAGCTGATTTATGAGGACAGGGAAAATGGGGCAGTGCACAGAGGGCAGAGCAAGGTCCTGATGGGTGTTTCCAAATGCAGCCCCATCCCACTGCTACCAGTGAGGGGCTCCCCAATACCCCCAGATGATGTGAGGAGGGTCAGGGCTAGTGGACATCCCTGGATGTTTTGGCAGGCCCAGCACCAGGGTCAT